AAGTCCTTCCTATTGGCCAGAAGCCCCAGTGCCAGCACCCACAGGCCAGTGTGCTCGCGAGCCAGTGGGCCCTGCCTTGATGAAGCCTACGCACTGCTTCTGACGGTCAGCCGTGGGGCCATTCTGTGCACCCTCTTTGGGCCTACGCCCATATGCACGTCCATCTGCTTAGTCCTTAGTCCCTTCCCTAGCCCGCCTCCACACTTCAGAAATCAATACGCTTAGCTCACGTGAAGTAGATGCTTTCAGAGTGTGTATGTGGGTGTTCGCCGTGGTTAGTAACTGCAAAACTGGCAGTCCAAACCCACATGCTCCCACGTCTTAGAAACCCTCCCTCAGGCCTCCAAGAATCAGACCCAATGGCACCGTGTCAAGTCACATGGCTGTTCACATACCTCAGTGCCCCTTTAATAACTGGGGCCTAAGGCCATCCTGGTCAATAATTCTGGCAATCAAAGGGTGGGTGCGTACACAAGTCCTAATGAAACCTGGGTTTCCCTTCTGTAAGTGTGGGTGGCAGAGCTACTTCATGGGGTTTCTAAGGATCTGTAAATGAGCCCGTATGTAAAATGAGCAGTGGACAGCTAAGGTGTGGTTATTGTAACAGAGACACTAGAGGTGGTACCCAGACGTCACGACCGTTGCCCTCACCTTGTGGATACCAGGACCCTCCAGCGGATTGTAAAACCACTCAGAACTCCAGGTCTGGGCTTCTTGAGCTGTTGAATACATCTCCTTAATAAGTAGGCACCATCTCCCACATTTTATGAAGTAATGTGGTGAAGAATCTTGCCCATGTTCACTAGTTGTAATTTCTTGATTTCTATTCTGATGCAGGCTCTCATATTCACTTTCTTCACGCCATTCCTCATCCATATTGTAAAGCTGTAAACAATGTACAGTATAATGTGGAAAGAGTGCTGCCAACCAGTAGAAAATCAAGGGTGACTGGTTTAGAAGAACAGCTTTATCTATTTAGGGTGGCGTGTTCGAACTCTTCAAGGAGTATAGAAGTCATTCTCTTCGGAAGCCTTATCAATCTTATTCTGAAGCACTAAATAGTTATATGAGTTACTTACATAAAAGCAATGTTGTAAAGGGGGCAGAACATGGAGAGAGAAAAAGGAGAACTGTATAGATGCCCTGCGAGGACATGGGCATCCAGCTAGCATGCTTGGATGCTAACCCG